GGTGGTTGTAACTCAGCTCAAGCAATGAGTCACTAAGTAAAGATAAAAATCTGTTAGTGACTTGTCACCTGTCACTTTCACTGTGACATATAGGAAGTTGCATCCAGGTAAGTGACTAGAAAATGAATGATACCACAATTATTTGTAACAAATATAATGTGTCATTGTATCTTGTACTTGTTCATCTCCTGTCTAGCTCATCTCATTTATTCTGAAGCATTTTGTATTCTAAATTTGAGTACACTGTTGTGTCAGATAGAGTGCCCAGAATAAGAATGGGTTGTCTCAGCCTTTCATTACTGGTTCTAACATGTCTCCTGTCTCTTGCAGATAAAGCTGTCATGGCACCTAATCTAGACTCATTTGGTCGAGACCGCGCAGCATACCAAGAGAACAGTCGTCAGAGGAGGATCGCAGAAAGAGAAGCACGACGGTATGAAACTAATGTACTTAAAGACATGCTTCAAAGATTAAGGCTTAACTTTTGTGACATGCTTCTAGGCTAAACAGTTCTCTGTTGCCCCTGTAGGCTGTGTTTTTGTGCTTGCCTTAGACCATGAAATGCTAAAAAACACTTATTGCGCTTTTATTCCTAACAATACAGCCGTGTAGCTTGGTTTGTAAAAAATAGTTTTCTTGAGTCTGTAGTCTCTCCAGAGCTGAACGTAAGATCCTGAGTTCTGACTTTGAGGGAGTGGGTTTATTGCCAAGCTGGTTAGAGTTTATCGCACATTCTGCCTTTGGTTTTAATTGTCTTTGTGCTTTTGGTTTGGTGCAGAACTCGCCGGCGACAAGCTAGAGAGCAGAATGGAAAGAGGGCTGAGCATAAAGAAGGCTTATCGTCTGATGATGAGGAAACCTCTACTGACATTACCAGCTTCAACATGGAGAGAGGTACATCATTAAACTGTTGGAAAACTTGCACTATTGACCATGATGAGAAGTACTGGCAAATGTGTCGATTTCAGTGTGATTCAACTCGGACGTTGTGCAGCTCATGCCTAACAAAAGCCTTTCATCTCATCCAGATCGTATCATCAGGGAATGTAAGAAAATATTTGAGGATGTGGTGGAGGACTTTCATTCTCTCGACTGCATCAAATCCCATTTTGAAGTCTGGAGGAGAGACTACGCCGACTGCTACAGAGATGCTTACATAGGCCTCTGTCTGCCCAAACTCTTTAATCCTTTAGTCCGTCTGCAGCTGATTACATGGAACCCTCTCGAGGTAAGGCATTTATGTGTGTTTTTAGTCTAATGTTTTTTTTTTCATCAAATGTGGTGAATTCTGAAATCCTTTTTGTTTTTGTTTTTCTCCTGTCCAGGGGCAGTGTGCAAACTTCGAGTACATGCTCTGGTTTGAGTCGCTTTTGTTTTACGGCTTTGAGGAGCACAGCACTTTGCAGAGAGGAGATGGAGATATCAGCTTGCTGCCTGCCATCGTGGAGAAGGTCATCCTCTCCAAACTGACAGGTAGAGAAACCCACACTGCTGCACCTAGCATACTAAGATTTGCTTGGCAAACATCGCAGGCCAGTGCAAAATGTGTCTTGTGCATTTATGTTTTGTTTCTTTTTTTTGTGTCAGTGTTGGCAGAGCAAGTGTGGGACCCGCTGTCGAGCAGTCAGACGGCCAATCTGGTGGGCTTCATTCACAGATTAATGAAAGGTTACCCCACTGTGCTGCATGGGGACAATCGATACACACAGGTACTGTCCTACGTAAACATAATGTTCTTTAACTGCAGAATAAGAGATTGCTTTGGCTCTTCTGCTACAAATGTCATCTTTACTTCCTTTTTTGTTTCTTTTTCTATCAGGAGCTTTTGAAAACTATTGTCTTTAGGACCAGGCGGACTCTGGATGAAGATGTGTTCCTTCCACTCTACCCCAAAAAGTATGTTACATAATTTTTAACATTGGTGGTAGTCCTCAGTCTGTACGTTGAACCTTGATAAGTCATTAAGTGTGTTTTCTGCTTTTGTTTAGTGTTTTGGAGAACAAGAATAGCGGCCCCTACTTATTCTACCAGAGGCAGTTCTGGTCTTGTGTGAAGGTATGTACTAAAGTGGAGTCAAGATAGCATTGCTTTTAGAATAATTCCTTAATTATAGTTCTGTTCAAATGAAGGTCATGCCACATATAGAAAAGAGGTGATTTTGGATGCTTTTTAAAGGTTTACACTTGAGGAGAACAAGAGCACTTGAGAAAGTGTTGCCTTGCCTGCATGAGGCTGATTGCCTCTTATACAATACAACAGACTGCATGTGTGCGCTTGATATAGCTCGGCTACTAACCACTGGTGGTAACATGTGCTTTTGTGGCAGCTAATGGAACTACTTGGATATTGATGTTAATGTGCTGCTGTGTCCCTGTCCTGGTCTGCGTATGTGCACAGTCTGACTCCGTTGTTCCCTCTGTGCAGCTGCTGGGAAACATCCTGCAGTGGGAAGGTATCTTATCCAGTTCCTGTCTGAGGGATCTGGCTTTGGACAGCACTCTGAACAGATACATCCTCTCTGCACTGCAGACCACAGATACTGGGGAAGACAATGTTCCAAAGTGCCAGAAGGTAGGAGACGCACACAGCAGTTGTTTCATAGCTTGGTGCTTCATGTGAAAATAGACACAGCAGATCTCAAATATTCAGAATGCTTGTTCAGATTAACCGGAATTATAAGTTTGTCACTTCATTTATTTTAGTTAAACAGAGAGTTAAAAACTATGGTTGGCTTGCTTTCTTCTTATGACGCTATGTAACAAACAAGTTCATCTTGCCAGAGTCGATCTTGTGGATATTAAAGCCAAAGGCGAAGAGTTTCCACACTCTTTGGAACAGAGTCAACTTAACATCTTCACGTGTTAATGAAGTCAATTTGTCACATTTCAGTCTATGTAGAAAGAGATGGGTTGTCTTTACAGTTGGTGTGTTCCAGAGTTGTGGAACTTGGCAAATGTACATCCTCATCATAAAATCTGACACACCCCTCTTTCACTCAGATGTGGCACCGCATGTAAAATGAGAGCAAGGCATTGGGGAAAGGGGATGTCTTCACCTTGCATTTACATATTTACAACCATGTGAATACCTTTTAGGTTTTGTTTAGTGATCTCACTCTTTTGACAGACAGCAACATCATTGGGAGCAGGTACAATGGAAACGTGTTTAATTGGACAGATTGGCCTCTTTTGTCTGCTATTTTGACTCCTGTTATTCCCAGAGCTTTGTCCCTGGCCTAGAGACTGAATATGTAGGGTGTCTCATGTTTAATTACATTTTAAAAAGTGGCACAGATTGCATGAGGACCATTTTTATCAGATGAAGCAGCCCACACTGTTGGCACACTTTCAGGTATTTGATGCCTGATTCCATCAGTTTAGTCATTTAAGCCATTGGAACTTCAGAGGCAGTGTTTTTTGCTCCTTTATTATTATTATTTTTTTATTTGATTTTTTTTTTTATTTTTTTTTTACTGCTAGCAGCCTTACCTCGACAAACTTAGTTAGTTGGCCAGCTCTTGTGATCACTAAACACGGTGTCACACAGCTAGTGTTCAACACCACCTTGTCTTTTTTTTCCCCTACCTTTTTCAGGTGGTGGAGTGTTTGCCCGTGCAGTGGTTCTCTGGGCTGAAGGGCCAGCAGACGTTGCCTCAGTTGGAGCCATTATGTCGCTACCTCACTCACCTGGCCAACTCAGTGCACCGCAGCAGTCTGGGAGCGTCTGACGTGGAACGACGTACTGCCAAGTAAGAGGCTCTACTGGGCTCTGCATATACAATTAAATACACGGTTTCTTCAGCTAAATTGGCGAACTCGAATTCCGTTTTAGCTCCATCAGTGAGCTATGTTGTAATGCTGTGAGTTTTGTCCATACTGCTTCTAATATAATCCACATCTGCCAACAGGGACCAAGTCAAAGAGGTTGTGAAGATGTTGGGCCACTTGAACGCCCTAGACCACATCATCACCGTGGCAGCAGAGCATGGTATTAAAGACATTAAGCAATTTTTGGAAGCCAAGTCGTAAAGGAGGACAACACTTTTTGTTTTTTGTGTGTCTTCAGCACATTTGGGGACATGGCATCACTAAGCTGGATTCATGGAGGAAAAAAAAAATGTGTGTGTGAATAAAACTCAACAGTTGTTACATTTTACTGAAAAGAGAAGGTAAAAAAATCTTGGTGTAAATATTGTGAATAATGTATAGAAAGGTGTGCTCATGCACCCATCAACACAAGGCCGATGCTTAAACAAGGCCTCGTATCGTCAGCTCCAAACAACCACTCAAGTTATACTACATGCTGGCAATGTTTTAAACGCATAATTTATTAAGAGGAAACAATTGTTGACATGGGTTACTGGCATCTGTTCGGAAAACATCTGATCCCTGAATTCACACTATATCCAACCTGGATATCTGTAAACCTTAACCATTACCTCTCTTACATGCTCCTTTCTTCCGTATGTGCCAAAAGAACTTTCAGAACTGCACACTGGCAAAGACTGACCAGCAGCTTGCCTCCCAGTGCTCTGCGGGGCAGTTGGTATGGTTGTTTTCCCCCACACTTCATCCCACTGTACTCGCGTCACTCTATGAACTGGCCCCCGATGACCCTACCAGAGCTGAGAGCTTTGTATTCAGATTTGTAAAACTTTTTTTTTGTTTTAGAATTTTATTTGCCTGACAATAAAATATCCACTTGAACGCTGTCTTGTTGTATTTAAGGAAAACCTGTGGCTCAAGAGATGGTGTTCTTTCTCGTAGAAAGGGGTCAATCCAACATTATTTCCAATGTTCTTCAATTTAAGAATATTTTATGGTTTTTAGTTACTCCTCCTAGGCTGAATCACTGTCACTGATTTTGAAGTTTTTTGGACCAGAAAACGAGCTTGAATGAAGCAGCCATAAATTGTATTGCACAACTGTTAATGGTAATGAGCGGGCGGGGCCTTGCTTTATCCCCCTCCTCCATTCGTACGCATTAAACACAGCAACCCGAAACTTCAAATTCCTGCTTACCACCTGTGAAGAGGGACTTCTTACTTTGCTGACCACCGTGCATTGAAGCGCAGTTTTGTTTTTAGCCAATTCCATTTTTAAACCTCTTCAGGAAATCGTCTCTATCTCGGATCACCGCTTCATGCGCTCCCGCAGGGTAAACAAGGTAAAGCTCTACAACGCTGCGTTAGGATACGTAGCCACATGCATGCCAATGATTATGCAATGTTTAATTACTAACTTTGTTGTATCTGCACCCCGGAGTTAGCTGATTTTCGGGTTACACACACACACACACACCAGCTAGAGCGCTGTAGGGGAACGCATTTCCGTGCGTAAAGTTGAATGGGTGCGTGGATACATGAAAGCAGAGGCAGCCACGCTGTAAACCACATGCTCCTTTCGCTCAGACCCCATTTTTGACTGCTCCATAGCTTCTCTTTCCTGCTGCATGCATGTGGAGGAAATCTCACAACTTCAAATGCACAATCATTTTCGTGCTCCTCAGCGCTCGACAGTTAAGTTTTTGGTAATTCTACATTTTAGGGGCTACTTATAGAGGGTTGTCTGTAACTATGACAATGTAATATGAGAGAGGGGGATTCCTGGAATAAGTCACGACTCTCTTTTGACTGTCAGGAGCCGCAGTGTAGCCTGCCCCAAAGACGGCTGATGAAGATGATGATGTGAGGAAGGTGGCGGCTGTCGTCTAGACTGGAGTGAAAGCAAGTGATCACACAGTAGGCCTATACTTGAAGAACCAGCAGCAATTTTGAAGGGGTGGAAAAAGTACTCACTCAGTAAAGTAAAAGTAATAGTATCATAATGGGGGAAAAATCTTCCTTCATCCATTTTAAAGCAAAAGCATGAAGAATTCCTCCCTTCATAATCTCTCTGACATTAGTACAGTAAACTTTTCTGTTTTCACTGCTGGAAAAATAAGAGTGGAAAGGTCTGATCTACTGCAGTCATCTGTTTCAATAAAATACACAGTTCAAAAGAGCATTGTAAGTCATCGTTGTGCTATACAGTGATCCACTTTAATGGAGGTATGACTCAACCTCACCAGAGTTTGGCATTTGAAAAAGCAGCTGGGAATATAGTATAAGTGACAGCCCATCAGCTTTGTGTGAAAGCAGTTAAAAGTGTGAGAGATAAAAAATTGCTAAATTAATATTCCCAAATTGAACCATATTTTAAGTGTGACTTAGTACAGGAGTTGACCTTTTAGCTCTTAATGGCTACAGTTCAAACCAGTTCCAGTCAGTCTAACTTTAGCTGGTCTGAAAGTGGGTCACTAGTGGGCAAGCTGCTGGCTGCAGGCGGAGTTGGAGCCTATACAAAACGCACTGTGTGCAGAAACTTTTCAGGTTTGCTTGAGATTCTGGAGATGGCTTCAGCATGCTAGGGCTTCGTATTTCCCCTCTGCTTCACCTACAGGCTGCACGTTTGGTTGCCTGTATGCTTAGTAATACCAGAAAAAAAACCTCGTTTGCTTTCTAAACAGTGTGTAGCTTTTGTTTATACTCTCAGTTAGGATGAAACAAGTTGCAGTTGGTGGTGGTGTTTGACTTTGACTTGTCAAAGCATTGTGCACAATGTAAGCGACTAACTGCAGTAAATAGAAGGCAGTGTGTACAAAACATAGATCAGGCGCTCATTACTCGGTAATGCACTCACAACATGCGTTCATGCTTACGGAAGTGATAAGCCGCCGTAACAGAAACAGACTGAGATTCTAAGAATGAAGTTTGTATTCAACGGGTAGGGATGCACCGAACCAGTTTTTTAATTGTCAAACATACAACTGACTTGCACTGCGTCCTTATGAATTATCAGAATAAAATATACACAATATCAGAATAAATAAATGTAAATATTCTCTTATTTCTAACATGTAAATAATATGTAAATAGGTTAAACACTTTGAAAACCTGGGAACTCAAATCTTCTATTTGCCACATTTTCTTCTGGATATCAATTTCTGACCGTTAGTCGACCCAAATTATCAGCAAATAATCAGTCAAGAGACTCCAGTATTAAACAGAGATATCAGTAAATGTTGCTTTCTTTCATACAGGTGTAGCCTCCCACTTTGTTGGCTTAAAAAGTAAAGAGCTCTCTTTATCCGAGAACAGTATATGTACTTGTTCTTAACTATCTCTGTAAAACCGAAAAGAGGTAAAGGGTCAATCTTTTGTTTCCTAAAGTATGTGATTATTGTGCTGGTCTGTGTCACGGAACAGGATTAGAGAAGGGTTGTTGTCTGTTCAGACAGATAGAGGGCACTTTGCCCATCATTTGTACCCTCGTCATGAGCTACAGGTCTAAGTTTACTGAAGCAACACATGCTAAATTAAGAATGTACTGTTCTGGTAATGCTCAAATATGCTTTGGAATAAAGCTTCCTTCTTTGACTGTATTTAGGAAACATTATCACCCGCCACATTTGTTGAACGCTATTTCCACAGCATTACCCATATTTGTTGCCTTTTTTCGTCCATGGAGGTGATGTAGCCTACAATTCTGCCATGTTCCTGACTGACTGACATGACATTGCTGAAATCCCCGCACAGCAAGTTCAAGGTGACCCAGTGGGGCACACTTAAAACAGGGAGCGTCACGGCAACACTTGGTTTCCATGTGCACACCAAAAGATAAAACCTGTCTAAGTTAGCTGGGTAAATTAAAACCACATCAGGACATTATTGCAAACATAACAAGTAATCAGATATCGGTAAAGTTGAGCGATGGCTCATTGGGGTTCGTTGTGCTTTTAATACAGCGACTTCTACCTAGCAGGACGCAACAGATGGGAATTGTAGCAGTCAACACTCCACTGTTGCATGCCGTTTTTTCTCCACAGTGATTCCATCTCCAGAAGCAATTTCTAGCTGCACCCCATAGTGAGTGCATGCATGCAAGCAGTTGCTTAAATCATTCTCGCTGACTTTCATCTCTAAAGCTGTGTAACTATTGTCATAACTATTGTCTCACCTAAAATGGCTTTACATGATATTAACTATCAGGCAAATGTCAGCAGAGTCAAGAATAAAGTTAGTTTGAGCCTCCCCAGTGTTGCACAGTGATTTACAGTGGAACTTTGTCTAACCTCCACTGACCTTCTGAAAAGTATTCCATCTACTATTTACTGTTTTTAGTAGACGCACATCATCAAATTACTTCTATACAAATCCTGATATTTTGTAGTAGTGTTAAAAAAGGACTCCTAGGCTTCCTAAATGTCAGTGTGTCATTCATGATCTACTTCGATTGGTTAGAAAGCATCACACCCCCTTTCCTGTTCATCCACTCACTCCGCACTGACAGGCACTGCCTCCACTTTCTTCACATCTCATCTGCCAAATCATTTTTAAACTGACAGCGGGTCGTGTCCATGTGTCTGTGTGTGCACAGATAAGAAGGGACCTTGCTTTCTAAAGCATGAAGGTTTTTGTATCTTTAATCCCTACACTTAATGGAAATGTAACTAATCATTTCATTATAGGGAATTGTGTATGAATGCATGCAATTGCATGCAGTGGTGGAATGCAGTTGAAGTATTTACTCTACTGCAAATTCAAGGTGTACTTGTACTTGAGTAGTTCCATTTTATGAAACTTTATACGTCCACTCCACTATATCTAAGAGGCAAATATTGGATTAGCTGGAAAATGCATTGTCACAAAGCTGAAATAGGTGTTTGTCTGTGCTCATGAAAAGGCTTGTTAGACATGCGTTGTTCTCACAGGACGACGCTATAAACATATGATGATCTTACAGAATATGATACATTGCTGTAGATTAAACTCTCTAACAGTATACATTTGTTACAATTAGCGCAACCTGAAACATATACACCCAAAAGCATCAATAACAGGGCCCATTTTCATCAGTACTTTTACCTTCGATACTTTAAGTACATTTTGCTTTTACACCAATGCAAAAGCTTGTCTGGATGCAGCCACAAGTTACCACCTCTTATTAGTGCTCACCAAGGTACATTTCTGTTACACAAAGTTATGCTGCTTTTGAAGATAAACTGGGTTACTGTGGCTTTTTACATCTATGCACCTGCAACTCCGTGGTTATGTAAGCATTTACATCTAGAGTTATTACTGTAAAAATACATTTATTAAGGTTTTCACGGTCAACCAGCTACTGCTTGACCATGCTTGTGTGTGCATGTGTGCGTGTCTCTGTGCTGCTTGGAATAGCCAAGCCATGTGATTCTCCAGATTCTATTTCAGAACGGCGGCTGTCAAAAGCTCTGCACTCTTCACAGCAGCTTGAAGAATAGTTAACAAATACACCTTTTTAATCCCTCTATCTGTCAAACTTTCCGCTCAAATCCACAGGCGAAGCGTATCTGTGGGTGGTTTCAAGTAAGTACTCCATGTATTTCTTATTCTGCCCTGCGGGAAGAGGATATTGTCATTTTGACATTTTTCTGCGGCAGTGACAGCGCGTGTTTCATCATGCCTCTTGTTGTTTTGTATTGTCAGATTTCCTCCGGTGGCATTGTTTGCTCTCATGAGTTTTGTTTATTGACAAAAAAATGGACTCTCGTGTACCCACGTCAGCCAGGGGTCATGTGGTTCATGTCGTCCGCTTTCTTCTGCGTTTGCAAGCGTGCATGTGCGTGGTCATTACTGCCGGCATTTTATGATTACCCTTGGATATTTGAATAGTATTTTCACTCTAAGCTTTTATTAATGAACTTCCTGGGTTTTTACGGTAACGTGATACACAAGCCGTTGTAATAATCAGCTTATTATCTGGGCAGAATAATAATGTAAGCATCGCTTCAGAAGTCTCGCTGCTGCTGGTTTGGTCCAGTAATTGAAATGATTATTTGTGTGACAGCTGTTTTCTTTGTTCTTTTTTTTTTTGACACATGTACAAAACATATTTCTCTAAATTAAGTCCACAAATTAAGTCCATTAATTAATTTCAGGTGTAATAATGCCTTTAATGTCAGCACAGAAGACCATATACTGTATGTAACATAACACAAAAAACAACCCTGCACAACAACACTTTTGAAGTATGGTCTAGGGCTAAAACTAGGCCTTCATTATCAGTTAATAGGCTAATTATTTTCTCAATTCATTGTTTGGTCTATTAAATGTCAGAAGATGGGGAAAAGTGCATATCACATCACAACTTTTAAAACCCAAGTTGACAATGTGTTATGTGTTATCAGTTTATTCGTTTATTATCTTAAGACTAATGGTACCGTCTGAGAAGCTGGAACCAGCCCTTTTTGCCATTCATTCTTAAAAGCTAACCAAATTATTCAATTACCCAAATAGTTGCAGATTTTCTGTCAATCCACTAATAAATAAATCAACCAGCCGTTGCAACTTTAATTAAGAGGCGCGCATTATCACGTTGAAGGCAGTCGTGATGGTAAACAATAAGAGAGGGCCTGTGTCGTTATTTCCACACCATTTCTAAAGAACATCCAGCGAGCGTCACCGCTGACATGTTACACCATTCACAATCAATGACACCATGCAAACAATAGTAGCCTCCACAACACTTAATAGCAGCTGCAAATGGGAGAGGCTGAATTTAATGCCTCCTGACTTGTGTTGCAATGTCAGCTTGATCATGTTGGACAGTTTGGGGCAACAGCCAAATACTGTAAATGTGATGGCTTTCTAGGAAAACTAAGGCAAAAGAACTTCTCCCACTATGGCCATCATATGACTATATATTATATTTGGTCTGATGAGCCAGGTTGGAAAGTTGTATGTGAGCCTTGATGTTTTCTGGATTAAAAAAAAAGGCTACAAGGTCATCACCTTAGCTTACCCTTATGTGGAAGTTTCCATGAGGTGTGACATGACTGTTGCACTGTCCACATGACCTTTCTGAGTTCATGTCCTCATGTCAGTGGGTTCTGGAGAGGTTCCATTATCTGAATATGGGTCATGGTGTTATGCTGCTGCATGTCACACTCAATTCCCTGTCTCCCTTCTATGGGACACCACTGGACCTCTGCCAGACCGGCACAACTTAACTTTGCTGCAGGACATTGTTTATACCCCCTCACCCCTTTTCCCCCCTATTCATTCCTCTGTCTGCCCTCTATATTTTGTTTCCTTCCTAGTGTCAAGTATTACCTCTCAGTATGTGAACTCAGCACTGGGGAATGTGCATGAAATGTTGGATAGGCTACTGACCCAGAGAATCTTCTCAGCAAGGAAAGAAGACTTCCAGCTGCGTTGAGCCTCCGGAGGGTAGAGATAGTTTCAAACTGCATTGGCTGTTCATTCCTTCCTAAGTACTGTCCACACACTCTCCCATTTTATAAACAAGTCTATGTATGTGTTTGTTTAGTCATAAAAAACACGCCACCAAAGAGTCTTTGATATAAGGGTGACTGCACTGATTTTACACTTCAAATCCAGTTTACCCATCATGAGTACTGCTCCGCCTGTGAATACAGTTGTATAATGTCTCCTGTGGCTCTAGACGAGCTTTCCTGAGTTGGAGAAAATAATCCTGATGACATCATCAGGGTTTATTTCGGGGTTGATGTTTTTCTTTTTTTAATAGAAAGCTTGCGTTACAAACTGGTGTGGGGTTTAAAAGAAATGTAGGAGACTATATTGCAAGACACCATTGATTGCATTTTGGGAATTGTAGGATCCAGCATTTTTACTGCATGACCCATACTAGAGCCTAAAAGTCAGGATGACTTGACCCCCTGCTGCTTCAGTTTTGACCCTCCTTTTTAAAATCTGTCTCTCAGGAGTCCCCAGCTGTATGCAATTGCAGTAGCACCCCTTTAATTTCTGCTTAACATTTTTTAGTTTCCGATTCTCTTTTTTAATTATTAAAGGAAAGTTTAATATTATATTTAAAATAAGTGCTTCTTTTTCCGTCTACTTTGGCCTATTAGGTATTTGTTAGCTTTCTGTTAATTTTAAACTGTTTTGGCTTTGTTTGTACCGTATGACCCTAAGCATAGGGACATAATAACAGAACAGTTGTGGTACGTTTTGTTTCTTCTGCTGTGTGTAGGCGTAACATAATGTGATGAGCCTCCACGGCATGTTTCAAGAAAGTGTTTCTGTGTCATGAGTTACGATTCTCTGCGTGTTGAACAATCTGTTCAAGAGCTCTGCCTCCTCTCCTATGAGGTGCCTTGTGTTATGTAACATATGTCGGCAACGTATCCAGCAATAAGATGGATTATCCCTATAGGCCCCTGGTTTTTTGGCTAGCGGTCACGCATTGTGGATTTGGGTTGCGTTATGTAACTCCCCAGGAAACAGTGTTCTACTTACAACAAGTTTGTCAAGTACAACTGAACCCCTTCTAACCCAGTGTGTTACACTTAACTGCTGTAACGACCAGTGTATGTAATTTTAAATGTGGCCTCCACATACTTTCATACAGAAACGATGCAAAAATGTGGCAGTGGGTAGAGCGTCGTATAGACTTTCTGCATATTTAAGTCAGTTTGCACTCTTGTAGTGACTTGTTTGTTTAAGAGCCCTTGTTATGTGTTCACCTACAATTTAGATTAGACTAGAGAATATTATATAATTGTCTTATGAACATTTCAACATCACATTTGTTACCCTAGTAAAGAAATGGCTTGGCCAAGAATTCTGTGCTTATTGTGAAGCACTTAGGTCAACTTTAAGTGTGAGGAACTTCCCCTGTCCCTCATATGTTTTTCTCCTTTGCCTCCCTTTAGGGTGCGTGTGACCTCTTCCCCTCTCCCCTGTGACCTCTAGAACCCCATTGACCATCTCCCCTTACCCTCTCCTCCCTGAGGCCAGACTGTGATCCATGGAGAAGCTTCTGGGTTTCGGGAAGCAGTTGCTGAGGCTGAAGGTGGTGGACTGTAACTCAGAAGACTCCCGTCTGTCCCGATGCCTTAACACTTTTGACCTGGTTGCCCTGGGCGTGGGCAGCACGCTGGGCGCTGGCGTCTACGTGCTAGCCGGCGCTGTTGCACGAGAAAATTCAGGCAAGTTGGCATTACTGTAAACGATTAGAATGTCTTGTGAGGCCAATCTTAAAGCCTCTAATCAAACAATATCCATTATCCCCCGTAGGTCCTGCTATTGTGCTGTCTTTCCTGATAGCGGCCTTAGCCTCAGTGTTGGCTGGTCTGTGCTATGCTGAGTTCGGAGCCCGTGTTCCCAAGACAGGCTCAGCTTATCTTTACTCCTATGTGACTGTTGGAGAACTCTGGGCCTTCATTACTGGATGGAACCTCATCCTCTCCTACATCATTGGTAATCTCAGCTACTATGTTCATTTTTGTTGTTTGTGTTCAAATATAAAGAAACAGAATGAGAGACAACAAAAGCTTGGTGACAAAACTGAAAAGACACCACGAAATCTCCCTCAACTGGTCTTTCTCCATCTCAGGTACCTCCAGCGTGGCCCGTGCATGGAGCGCTACGTTCGACGAGTTGGTAGGGAAGCGCATTGAGCAGTTCTGCAGAGAGTACATGTCCATGAAAGCACCGGGTATACTGGCAGAGTACCCTGACATGTTTGCTGTTCTTATCATAATCACCCTCACAGGTAGGAAAACGTCTTTCTATCGCTTTTGTTTTACAAAGAGCATTTTTTCCCTCACCAGTATGCAGTGTCTTACCCTTGTATCAGTTGAAGTTGCTGCAGTGGCAGATATTCACTACAGATATTTAGCTGATCAGTACAAAAGCCCTCCAGTATGGTCATTTTCATTTCTGTGTCTTCTCCATTTCTAAGGTCTGCTGGCATTTGGGGTCAAAGAGTCAGCGATGGTGAACAAGGTTTTTACCTGCATCAACGTCCTGGTCTTGTTGTTCATGGTCGTCTCTGGTCTGGTCAAAGGGACTTTGAAGAACTGGCAGCTAGACCCTGAAGAGATCCTAAGTGGCAATTATACCAGTGACTCCAACCTCAAGTAAGAACGTGGACATATACACACGCTTCTTTCACGTATCGAAGATGCTCTATGAAACATCCTATGATATATTTGATCTGATCTATACATTTCAACTTAAAGGGTCTCAGTTTCTCTGAATAATCCAAGTACTTTGTTTCCTATTTTTATTTTGGTGAACAGACCCTTTAAATTATTAAAACATTTATTTAAATGGTTCCTTTCTTTGCTGTTCAGTTCAACAAACATCCTGCCAACCAAAGAGAGTTTAGGAGTGGGCGGTTTCATGCCGTTTGGTTTCACGGGCGTCCTGTCGGGAGCTGCTACCTGCTTCTATGCATTTGTCGGATTTGACTGCATCGCCACCACAGGTCAGTGCTGGATGAAACCAGAAAACACACTCCCTGTTACCCCTGTTCCACTGCCTCATGGGTATGTTTCAGTTTAGAGGGGCTGGTGTAACTGAATCTGGAGTTGGGACCATTTCATTCCCAAGCCTGTCTAAACATCCACGAGTGTTACATAAGAGGGGCAGGGCAGAGAGTTTAGTGCGTTTGGCCTAATTTTGCTCTTGGCGGAATCCCAAGTACTGTCATGTAGGTTAGTGGAATAAATCATGATATGAGGTTTGGGGAGAAGATGTTCCCCAAGTTTGTGCAGATCTACACCTACAAATGGGTGTGTGTCTTCATGTAGTTCCATTTAATCAATGCAAGGCTTCTGGGTTGCAATAAAGAGAGAGTTTCTTCCAGCTTGCCTTCTCTCTGGCCCCCTGGCTTTTCCCACCTCTCTTTTTCCTGAATTCTAATTGGCTAGCACGAAGTTAACCCTGAATGATTGCTTAAGCTTGGCTTGTGGGGGCATGGCTGTCACACACACTCTCCGCCAGCCCAGAGCCATTATATCATCAGTGTGTATGTGTGTGTGTGTGTGTGTGTGCGTGTATATGCACATGTGTGTATTCTGGCTACCTAGGTTTAAGTTGGCATAAAGCCATTACCCATCCCCCCCAAACACACACACATACGCCCACACAACTGTTACCACTCTTATGCTTATATCCCCCAGCCTTTCAATAATCTGGGCCAATCAGTAGCTGTCACCTGTCATGAATAGTGGTGTAGAAGAAAAAGATCCAGGCAGTTTTATACACACTCCATCATCGCGATGTGATTTCGACGCAGAACAAGAACTGAGTGTTCGCCTGAGGAGCTCTGTTGCATAATCACCTGCAGCTGAATAGCTGGGTGTTTCACTCTTGTGGGTGCACAGGGAAAATAAGCTCCATGTTCAATTTGTTGCAAAATAGCACCCATTTCTTAAATACATCTGTTTGCCCAGTTTTCCACGTTAACTGGAATTCTGGTAATATGATCCTAAAAGAATGAATGGTGTATACAACTCTATCTGAACACTACATTGCACTAAAGTCTGAATACTTAGCTACCAACAAACAGTGGTATAGCAGCTTATGGACAGATGTTAGGATGATGCAACAACATTTGCACAAATAACTAAGAAAGTAAAAGTGATATAATCTCAATTATATATTCCATTCCAGGTATTTTCAAGGTCAATTGACAACTTAGTGAACAGTTCAATAACTTTTAATGAAAAGGTTCTAAGCACCTCTCAAAGCAAGCAAAGCAGTTTTTCTGAACGTGACACTAGGAAACATGGTAATGGTGACCTAGCTGATCATGACAACTGACATCTTGTCATTATATACATGCAATCTAATTATTTGGCGTCTGTCCAAGAGACTGTGTGTAGTGTATGTCTTTAAGTGGTGTTACTGCACTCGCCACTGAATGTTTAATTTAGGATGAATTCATTAAAAAGTACCGTAAACAGCAGAATCTACTCAAAATAAAAGTATATTTATTTATTTATTTGTGTCAATAAGGCTGTTTATTGCAGTTAATATTTAAAATATGTGAATAAAAAAAAGTTAATTATCTTCCATTCAATAGCACATATTGTTTAATGTTTAATCAATAAATAAGTAAAGTTGTACTTTTTGCCCCTTTAACTGTATTTGTTCATGTCATTTCTGTAGGTGAAGAGGTGAAGAACCCTCAGAGAGCCATTCCTATTGGCATTGTATCCTCGCTGCTCATCTGCTTTGTAGCGTACTTTGGTGTTTCTGCAGCCCTCACCCTCATGATGCCATACTACCTGTTGGACAGCAACAGCCCTCTGCCTGTAGCTTTTAAATATGTGGGCTGGGGCGGAGCCAAATATGCTGTCGCTGTAGGCTCTCTTTGTGCTCTGTCTACTAGGTAAGCAGTTACACACACCTGCATTGGTTGTGTTAAAAGGCATGCTCATGTACTCTAGTTCTCTCTCACAGATAAACATGCAGACATGCACACATGCACACATATAGATATTTTTTCTGTGGGTGTGAGACTGTGAGTGTATATTTAACTTTGGAAGAAATTTGATCCCTCAACTAAAAATAACAGCACTGCTAAGAATATTGTACCCATAGTTTATGTATGTAATTATGTAACACTCAGTCGTGTCACCAAAAGTCACCACAAGTTGCATTTTTATTAGTAATAATTTTTTTAATGGTTTTATAATGGTGGTATTATTGTATATATATAATTCATTTTGAAAGTACTTTGAATGACTGAATTGCTTTTTTTATGTGTGCATAGTGCATTTAAGGCTAATTGGTGTAAACAGATGGCTGCTTTGATATTAACCATGTTCCAGCATGCTGCTATTCTTACCACATATGTTACGCACAAAATACAGTATATTGTGCTGTGTAAATGTACTGTACGTACACTGTATAATGTTCCTTGTATATGTGAGCTGGTGTCTCTGTTCATGTATGTTTCACGGCATTCTTGTGGGTGTAAGTGTAGATACTATATATCCTGGTCTTCCCCCCTGGTAGCCTGCTGGGTGCTATGTTCCCTATGCCCCGTGTGATCTGGGCTATGTCCGAAGATGGGCTGCTTTTCAAGTTCATGGCCGAGATCAGCCCCCGCACCAAAACCCCGCTAACCGCAACCCTCACCTCTGGTGTAGTGGCAGGTGAGACACTAACACGCATGATTCAAAACAGCATCCATGTTTACTGAGGCTTTCTTTTCATGCTGTAAAGCTGAGCTGTGCCGGGTTGCAAAAGTTCTGGCCTGCTGATTGCAGATTCCATTGTAACTGTGTTTTTCGAAGAAACCTGCCATAAATCTGCACTGCAGTATGAAAAGAGCATCATTAACTGTCTCTAATCCTGTCTCACATGGCCAGATCTCTTTGTAGTTGGTTGAAACAGTCCAGGTTATACTTTATCATTCTTTTAACATGGGTCAATGGCTAGACTTCATGAGACTTAACAGAAATGTTCTACCTGCATTCTACCTACATTTTTTACATTGGAATATTGAGCAACAGCATGTGGAGCACCATATCTGATATTTATGGAGGGGGGATTTTGCATGCTGGCATCAGAATAACCTTGGTCCAACATCATACTGCAGTTGCTCTATAATGCAACCAGTCTGATATCCTGTTGCACGTTCTCCCGTCCCATATCTGCAACTTCTATCTTGCCAACCACATTTACCTCCTTTCACTAATTCTTCTCCTTTATCCCCTACTGACCTCTTTCAATTCTTCATTTCCCCTCATTCCTCTACCTTACACCTACAACTGTCATCCCAATCTGATGTTTTCCTCCCCACCCTCCCCAACCCCCAGTCTGTTGGGTTCCATGTTCCCCCTACCCCGTATCATCTTTGCCATGGCTCGGGATGGCCTGCTCTTCTCCTTCCTGTCCCGCGTCAGCGAGAGGAAATCCCCCATAACGTCTACTGTGGCGGCCGGGGTTATGTCTGGTAAGATGAATAGAGAATGTAAAATAAGGAGGGATAAGGAAAACAAAGGCCTGTATTTGTCTGTCATTTCTTTATCTTTATCTTTATCTTTTCTTTATGCACTGCACCACTTGTTGCATAGGTTTTGATTTGTTTCCTACCTATGACAAACATGCACACACAAAGACTACAGCCATGCTAGAAGCTGAGTGAGGTGGTGCTACACAACAGTGTAATACTGAAATCAGCATGCTAACATGATCACCATTACAATTCCAACATGCTGATGTTTAACATGTTTTAATGGGGAGGTCAACAGAGGTCATCTGCTGGAATCAAACCGGTGACAGTTGTGACCATCTTGCCTGCACTGTGACCATTTGGCCACTAAGGTGCTGAAATGTTTAGCATGTTTAAAAAATTACCACATAAGATCTAGACATTTAAACCCCATACATGTTTATGGGAGATCAGAGGACCATCTTGAAAACACATTGTCTAACTATGTTTTTATATTACCAAATGTATTCTCATGTTTCCAACTCTTTTTTCTTGCTCTTTACAGCTATCATGGCATTTCTGTTCGACCTGAAAGACCTGGTGGACCTGATGTCAATAGGGACGCTGCTGGCCTACACATTAGTGGCTGCATGTGTCCTGGTCCTCAGGTCAGTGGGGGGACTTAAGTACATAGAGTTTAACTAGGGACATTAGGGGGGGCAGTCCACCTGTCCGTACTTTCTCAGAGTAATTTCCATGTTGAAGTTGGTCCAACCATATATGTTTACATCTCTGTTTAGCAACCAGTGAAACTCAGCCCTGCATTCATGTTGAAGGCAGTTTCATACTCACATTTTGACTGACTTAAACTGCTATTGTTACAAATGTTGCAGCTGATGTTAAAATATGTTTGACATACTTTTATAGGCTAGGTTCATTATAGTGTAGTGTAGCGATATATGTTCCTTATCACTGTATCCACTGGGACTAGCAGCTATTGTAAGTCTTGTAAATACAAAGTAAAGTCTCAATGGTAAAACCGCTTAGTATGTGTGTTTCATTGTGTCAGGTACCAGCCTGAGCACCCCAGTCTGGTGTATCATATGGCAAATACCCAGGAGGAGGTAGAAATGAATGACAGCATCAGTTCCACCAGTGCTCCCAGTATGGGCATCCTGCCTGGTATGGAGAAGACTTTCAGCTTCAAGACTGTCCTGTTCCCAGACAACTCTGAGCCATCCACACTGTCCGGCTTCACTGTCAACATCTGTGTCTCTGTCATGGGTATGCGATCATACCAGGCCTATTTTAAAATAATGATCGAATATGAATAAATTAAATGGAGTGCTTTGGTAAAGAAGCTTACAGAAGTATTAATTTGCTTAGAATCCAAATGAAGATTCAGTGGATGTATTTAAAACATCTTTACTGAGTCCTGAGTGTTAAATGGCAGAGTTACACAAGAAATAATGTAAAAACACATGTACTTCTGCAGGAACATTGATCCTGGTGTTCAGCATACTGGCAGTTCAGGGAGGCATTGCTGTGTGGAATGTCATAGCCCTCAGTGTCATCTTCATGGTGTGTCTCCTCCTCACCGTTATCATCTGGAGACAGCCTGAGAGCAAGACAAAACTTTCCTTCAAGGTTTGATTCCAGAATTTCTGTCTATGTAGCATAGTATGGATTAAATGCAGTTGTGGTTTTATGTTGCGATGTTTTAACACAATTATTATGCCATGTTTCCCTTCTATGATATTTGACTCTTTAGGTCCCACTGCTACCCTTCATTCCAGTGATCAGTATGTTTGTTAATGTTTACCTGATGATGCAGCTGGACAGAGGCACTTGGATACGATTTTCTATCTGGATGGCTATAGGTAGGTAGCATCTATTTCTATCATCATAATTATATTTCCAGGGTATAAACTGACTTACTAGTTGTAGAAATTCTATTGATCCCTTAATGGGAAACAATCTTTCACTTGAGTGTCTCTGGCTAGAGGTTGGTTGTTTTCCTACTCACCTACTCACTACAGATGCTTTCAAACTAATTATATACAGCTGGAACATTGCCTACTTTAGTAGCTTGAAATAGGCAGTCCAACAAAGGAATGGTTAAGTCAGCCTTATTGTGTCATCATTTTGTGGGTTTTAACATATCTTTGGTGGTACATCAAGCCAAGAATGTGACAGTTGTGAGTGTTGGCTACCAAAATGAAACATAGATATTGTTAATAAAAGCTGACTCTCAAATGTTAGATGTCAGATATTAATCAAATAGAAACTTAAATATAAGTTTAAAAAAAGGGAAAAGCGACCTAAAGGGATAACATATATCAAGCTAGCTTCAGGTCTGTGTGAGTTAATTTTTACTCTGCATGAGCTGACACAACAACAACAAAAAACTTTGTTTAGACATTTTAGAGAGACTATATTACACAAACAATGATGTTGTGTCTTGCTTTGCTTTTTAAGGTTTAGTGATTTACTTCGGCTACGGCATTCATCACAGTACTGAGGCAACTACGGCCCGCTCGTCTCCAGACACGGAGATGAAGGCGGCCACAGCTGCCATGTCACCAGAAAAGGAGGCCTTCCTGCATTATGGGATGGATGTCAGGGAAGAGGACGATGGAGATTTGTAGTAAGCATTAGACCATGCTGCGTGGATTTCAACCTTCCCCAACGCCAGTCTGTCTGTGCAAGAGTTTTTAGACCGGACAAGTCCCAGTCCCTCACTGGCCAAGGTAGTGCCTTTTGGGGAAAGAAATGATAAATAACTTTGACCTCAAATTCACAAACCTGTGAGTTCCCCCCTTGACTGATGGGTAGAACAACAGGATTTCTTAAGCCATAATTGACATGTTCTGTTATTTCAGTATTTTGTGATGTGTTTGTTACCCCCTTTTGCTTGGCTGTGTTGGCTGGGGTGAGGGTTCATGTTGGAGACACAAAACATGTCAGTGTTTTAGGGCGGGTTCAGAGATTCTGGGAGACCCTAATATTTGTCTCTCTTCATGATGGGTCGTAGTTACTTCTTTGGAGAGTGTCTGGGTTACATTGCTGGTAGTAGGACTGTGCACATGTGGTAACAGCTTTCATCTGCGTGCCAGAAAGTTCAGCAGCAGTAAATTTTTTGTCCTTCTTTCTGTGAAGCATTATAACTACTGTATATATCTACACAATTCTGAAAATCAGATAACACAGTTAGTATTACCAATTGGTTACAGTAGCTACATTTTCTGCCAACTCTTGTGTAACCGATGTTGAAATGCTGCTCTAAAAGTCCTCCCTGACAAGTGAAAGCTTGCACAATACACAGTTGGCTTGATATAATTACCCTTGTTCACTAGCAGAATAGGGTGTCGAGCCAATGGCTGCACGTGTAAGTGGGCCAGCAGGGAGCTGTAGCTTACAGTCCTTATGAGTCCAAATTCAAATCCAAAGGATGGCATTGATACCATCTGAGGTACCAGGCTTTTTCATGCAAAAGGGAAAGTCTGGCATCTTACTGTATAGTTTTAATGCAGGTGTACTGTATGTCTTGGCAAGAAGCAGTCATGAGCAAGCCATTGGTCTGGCTGCAAATGATGATGCAGAGACAGCTGTAACAACAACATATCATGTTGGGCAGGTCTTTACTCTGAGATACAGAGATTCAGAAGAAGTAATTAAGTATGAAAGGCTACCAGATACATTTTTAAATCGTCAAACCATGTGACTAGTACTAGTTTAACAAATACCTGATTTTACATCCTCTTCACAATAATAAGGAGCGTTGTTAAAATACACTTTCTTATTTGGGCTATTTAACACCTTGGTAAATATAAAAAATCTGAAACGTGTTAAACATCAGGATAAAGAGATTAATTGACAGTTGCTGAATGTCTGTTAATGTCATGTAACATTAGATGATAGTGGATTTTCTCACAGTGCTGGCTGCTGTGTCGTTTTGCATCTGTAGCTTGTAACATGAAGTCTCTCTTTTTTTTAAAAAAGGTACAGGCCGACTTTTTTTTCTAAAAATGTTTAATTTGGATAAATGTATATGTTCTAAATTTATTTTACTTCCTTACTCATGTTTATTAATGTCTTTTTAAAACATGGTCATTTCCAGTGTGTTTTACAGATTACAAATCTGATTTAACTTAATATTTACAATTATTGGGGCGTCCGGGTAGCTCACCTAGTTAAGTGTGTGCCCTATGCTTACTGCAGCGCTTTGCTGCATGTCATTTCCTCTTCCCACTTTCACTCATCAGCTGCTCTTACAAAAAATAAAGGCAATAAAAATCCCAAAAAGTATCTTTATAAATAACCTGTCTGTGGGTAGTGTGTGTATATATATATATATATATACACTAACAAAAGGTTAATGATCATTTAAATGCAGACCTATTCATCAACCCATATCATGTTATGTTATGTTTCCATTTGTTTTAACCCTTAAGTGCTTTTACTGTGGTTTTGGGAGTCCTTTCAAAAGTAGCTGTCTATAAGTAGAAGCAGTAGAAAGTAGAAAGATTGTGTATATAAGATATTGTTTATATTTCTTGCAGTAAATTATTTGTAAATGGGAGAAAAGGCTAATTTTATGATACCCTATCTGTGTCTAACATTGTGTTCTTTATATTGTGTTTACATGATCAGTGCAACTGAAACTTTATCCTTAGGGTCGGCAGAATCACTGCCTTCACCTTACTTTACCCGTCAATACCTTATTTACAGAAAAGTGCAGTTATGAAAGTAGAAATATGGAATATTAGCATGACTGTGGCAGACACAAGTTCCTTGAGATCCTTCTTAGGCTGCCCATAATGCAGCCTTTTACAGTAAAAGTGGAATAATAGTCTGTGACATTGCGTTACTACTTCAACCATGCGTGCCTTTTCCGGGGGTTTTGGTAATTAGTGTACATAACACGTTACTACTTACCTACTTTTTGATAGTTCTTCACAAACTTGTAGTCCCACAAATCGTCAAAGCACATGAAAAAATGTTTAAATGTCCCATAATCATGTGTGTCAAATAAATCTAGCTATGCACGGTATAACAATAAAACAGTAATTGAACTGATTAATGTTTTAGCTTAAAGTCTCCTTGTTAGGTGTGAATATGGTGGTAATTATTTGTTTTTTCTCCGTTAAATTTATATTTGGTTTTCTGTTTAATCAATATAAAGGGATTCATGTGTATTTGAAAATCTGTGTTCTGGCATAATAAGTCGACAACTTGTTGTTCCTTCATGTCAAACCTCAGAGTTTACTTCTGAAATAAATACTATGTGTATACACATATATGAATAGATTTTTAAAAGGGAGCTCCTTTCGTTCGCCCTGCTGCTTTAAAACCCTTCTAACCACAGCTTTTGCTTACAGCCGGCTGCATCATGTTTATGTAATTTTGCTGTAATTACATCATTTTTTCCTCCACACTCTTTCTTTTTGTAGCCCTTTTTGGTTGCCTTTTTCTTGGTCGTTGTTCGCTTCAGGTGTGTTTAAAACTATGTGTAAATGTTGAAAAAGCACAAAAACAGTGTGTTGATTCGAGTCTGTCACTCAGCATCTTTCTCATGTTCTCTTGTTTTTCGTCACTGTGGTTCAAGTTTCCTCGCTCAACATTGCCTCACTGAAGAGAAGCGCTATTTTCCTCCAGCTGCATTTACGCACAAAACTGCAACTTTTTAAAACATCATTGTCGTGTCAAAATTGTTAAAATTAAGCAAATGTACATAGTGGTGAGCAAGAAAGTTCATATTGGCCTTGCAAAAAACTCCTCACAGCCTTCTCCGGTTGCTCAGGTTGTCATGGAGATAGTTGTCAGTGTATCAGTGGACTAGGAAGTTATGGTCCATATTTGCTGGTGATGGCAGCGGAGCAATCTCCATGACACCTGAACAAATGATGATTGAACAAATGGCTGAGGAGGAACATGAGATTTAACTGAAAGCTAGAAAAAGCAAGTAAGTGGGCCTTGAGTTGCTTTTTTTGTGCGTTCAGGTGCAATGTTATTTTCAGGTGTATACCTACAACTGCAGCTTAAAATGGCTTCCCGGTCTCTGTTAGAATGCTAAACAACTGTCTGACAAGAGGACAGGTGTCACTATTCAGCTGTATTTCACATTAAAAGTCACCGTTTGTGAGATTTAAAATATCTTTACTTTGGGGCCACCTGCTGGTAGTGTCAGGACCGATCCGACCCAGTGATACCAAGAATGATCTCAACAAAATGCCCAATCACACAATAATCCCCCATATAGTAACTTTAATAGCAGTGTCACTGTGTATTTAACTTAATAATACACAGTAACTCCTCTGAGTTAGGAATGCCTGCACTGGTTTTGCTTGTCTTTTTGTCCTCTGTTTCCTTTTTTTTTGTTAAAGTCAGTGCATCTATCCTGTGAATAAAACGAGCTTTTAAAAAACTCCTTCTTTGGGTGTGTTTATAGAGAAATCCACTGATTCTACAGCGTGGGCGCACATCATACTTCTCTCATGATCCGGCAGAGAGCGCAAATGTGTTGAGAGACAAAAGCCTGAGAAAAAGGATGCTCTGCCAGGTGTCGGCCGCAGCATCAGCACCGCTCCTCCTCCACCTCCCTACTCCCTCCTCCTCTCCGCAGCATCTCTCTCTCTCTCTCTCCTTGCACTGTTTCACAGACAGAGAGAGTGGAAAGACACGCTTGTGTTGCGTTTTTGCAACTCCCCGCATGTGACCGACATTCTTAAATGAATCAACACCAGAGAAACCTGGAGGTAAGTCGCAGCACAACTGAAAACACCCTGCGGGGTCATTTTGCAACAATGCTTTGCAGGCCAGCATCGGGTTCTTAAAGAAGTGTCGCACATATTTCTGCTTGTAGGGGTTTTGGGTCTTTGGTGCCGACTCGGTTTCGCTCATGGCTAATTATGGATCTGCTCGTTTTTATTTCTGCAGGCCCGATGCGGTGCAGGTTCGTGGGGGGGGGGGGCGAATTTGGGACATATCACATCCTGTTTCTCCGTAACTTGACCCGTAGACCGTACTGTACATGGAGCAGTAGGCTACAGGAAAGAATAGCGGGATGAAGAGAGTGAGGTCAGACAGGGAAGAGCAGGTTGGTGTGATGGATGAGGCAGGTCAAGTCTCTGTGGGTGATGTTAATGATCAGATGTAGATTATCCAGGCTTTAGACCTGACTCCAGCTATGATCCACTGTACTGAGAGGTGATAACGAAAGACACTTGTTTTTAAGATTATTATATTATGTATTAGTTTTGTGCCATGTCTAGTCAGATTTCTAGGAATGATTGCGGATAGTAATTTAATAAAATATTCCAAAAGATTCCTAAATATTAACAGTTTTTCCTGTATTGTTTTATATCTGTGTCACAGTGTTATAGTGCTGTTATGCTGACTCAGGCTTTAGCCATTTAATGGAAGCTGTTTTTAAAGGAGTATGCAAAGTTACAATAAAGCTTTGTTCAGAGACTGATCAAACCTTCGAGGAAACCTTTTGCACGATTTATCACAGATGTGGTTTCCTTTAATACTGACATTCTAATTCCCTTTGTTTCTTCACTCTTCTTGTCTTTGTTAGGGTGTATCACTTAGTTTGTTTACTTGACAAATTGTTGTAATATTTTTAGCTTTGCAACTGCAGTGTGGTTCACATTGTTTTGCACAGCCCAGACACAAGGTCGATAAATTCTACCCTGACGTTGTGCATAAAATATGTGTGGGAAGTGTGGTTTTTGTGTTTATTGGAATTGTCTGCTGCCATTATCGATCCCAATATCGAAGACATCCCACATCTATGAGTCCTCCAGTCCATATTGCTAAATCTTGCCAATCCCTCCTGGTCATGTTAATGTGGAGGTTGACACTGCATCAAAGCGGGGCTTCAGAGCCTGTGGCCTTAAAACAGTATGTTGTAGCTGCTGTTCCAGATGCTGATGCATGTGTGATTGATTCATTACATCTGACCTCTGCAATGTCTGAACAGCGATCAATTCAGCAGATCTCTGCCAGGAAAACCACTCTCAGCAGCGTGTTGTTGTGTGTGTGTTGGTGCTTGGGCTCAGGTGCTGTGTTGTGTGTGTGTTTCTGCAGGTAAGACAGTTTGTCACAAAGCCCGTGAGTGTAGTGCACTGGTGCGACCTTCAAGGTCATTTTATAGGACAGAAGAGAGGAGAAGAAGGAGGAGGGAGGGAGAAGAAAAATAGAGATGATGAAGTGAAGTAAGGGAGATGAGGAGGAAAAGTATGTCAGTATGCTTCTTAGTTTCATGTTATGTGTATTTCCAAGGGCTATTTTTATAAACATGTTTGCTCTTGTGTTGGGACAAATGTATTGTGCGCATTGATACCACAGTTGTAAAAGTAGTTAAATGTGTGTGTGGAAAGACAAGAGAGAATGTCAGAAAGAGGAAGATGCTGCAGTTATTTCACTAACCTGTGTTGTGATTACTCATAATTAAACAATTTGGAGGCTTTGCTCAGTATGAGGACATGTGTGCTTGTGTGCATGAATTCAGTGTGAATGAAGTGTCAACACATCATGCAAACACGTTCTCAAATTCACGTTGTCTTTTGTCTAGAAGGTGGCAATGAGCTTGTTGTAGCTCCTCCCCTGCAGTCACAGGCAGGGCATCAGAGGGTGAACAGAGAGGCACGCCTCCGTGGATGACATACACACACACACACACGCACACACATTTCCCTGTTCTCTGGAGAGTCAACATGAAAGACCTTTCTCACTTGTATGTGAACGTGTATGTGGTTGCCTCCATTTGCTGGATTTGTGCCGTCAGTTTAATAGAAGGGCTATAGATGTTTCTGTTTTTTATTATCCTTTGTGTTGTAGGTATTTTCACTTATATCAGCCAGCAAGCTACAGCTCTTATTAAGCAAGTGAATGCCACTCTTAAGTGTGCCAATGTGAGCAGCGGTGTTTTTATGAGGACAGAACTGTAAGAGCCATACTTAACTTGACTGTAAAAAGCCACAGAAACATTTCTCATCATTAATTTTTTATGACACATCTCCACACTATATGTCCACATTCTTCTTTAGGCTTGTCCATGTTCCCAAAAATAAACATATCTGCCAGAACAGCAGCAGTATTATGTGAATCCTTAAACTGAGCCGCATTCCTCCTTAATTTCCCAAAGGAGTTCTCTGCCCCATGCTGTACTCTCGCACCTTCCTTTGTCCAGTGTATGAAAACTGTATTTTTGTTACACACACCCACACCACCAGTTTAAACCTTTTTGCACATCAACCCCCCCACAAAAAAAACCCCTCAGCTCACTCTATTCTTTGCTCACCTCTCACTGATCCTTTGCCAATTGTCCCTCCCCCACCCCCGAGGGGTTTGCCACTTGCACATTACACATGCATACACACATTTACACATTGCAATACTAACTCGAATCCCCCACATCCCAAATTCCTTTCCAGCCCCCGCCTCACTCTCTGCAGCATTATTTGTTTCGATTATCATATTGTCCTAAAATAAGCAGAAGTGACTCAGCCTGTCTAAGTTGCACTCAGCTTTTCTTTGTCTGAGCTGTTTCACCTTACCAGCTTTATGTCTGGCTGTGATTGTGTGAGCATGTGCCAACTTCCGGACAGAGTATTCCACTATCTGTGAATTCTTTGTCTGCAACGGCTTTACATTTTTGGTGAACTCCAATCCTCACCTCTCTCTCCCGTCTTTGTCCCCTCATACAGTTTCGCCCACCAGCCATGTAAGAGTTAACATTTTTCTCTGCGACAGGAGTGAGGGTAGTGGGTGGAGGGGCTTTGCTAATAACAATGCAGTGCAACCAGCAACCAACGTGGACAGACATCCTTTTTTCCGCTCCTCCATGCTGCCCCTGTCTGGATCTACATTAGTCTGTGTTTTAACTGCAGGGCTCAATGAACCAATATACACAAGTCTCCAGACTGTAGCAGTTTGTTTATTTCTAATCATACTAATCTCCCTATCAGTTCCTGTTTGTTTGTTTTTTGTTCCCAATTTATCTTATTCCCGTTGTCATTTCTCTTTTGATTTCCTGCACATTTGTCTTCCCTTTATCTATCTGAAACAGAATCCCTCCTTACAGGCTGCATAGCACAGCAAAACCAGACAGTGAAGCAGGGCTATGTCTGATTTAGTGGAGATTCATTCCCGGTACTTGCCAAAAGCAGCACTGAAAAAAATAACAATTTAGGAGATTATAAATTTCATCAGTAAGTGTGTTTTTCCATGACTGACGTTCATTTTGCGAGACACATTTTCTCCCAGTAAGAAGCTGTCTCTTTGTGTCTGCTCCTGCTGCAGTGATAGTCATAGCCTGACTGTGTGTAGTTATGTGTGTAGGTGATACTCATGTGTAACTTTCCATGCACATGTGCACACTTTAAGCACATTTAATTTGGCTTTTAGTTTAGGTTTTGAATGTTCTGTGTGATGGTCGGTTTCTTTTTTTGGTACAGTTTGTCATCTAATCAGCTCTGTGAATAACAATTGAGACAATTAAACCGTGTGTGAACATGTGTTGATGGATGGATGCGTGAACACGTGCCTCCACTTTCATTTCGCTTCGGCCAATAAATCCTATTATTGGCATATTGTCATTTTCCTGCGATTTCATAGCAGGTAGCAAACACCGACTGCCTGCGCGCAATAAGGAAATAAATCAGCTTTTATTGCAGATGATCTGATTTTCTCATTCTCCTTATTCAGTTAGGTATGACCACCCACTCTGACCTAAGATCCTACAGAAATCCTGTTACAGTTCCCCCTGTGATACAAAATGACTCCCCCTGGGGTACAAAAAGAAGTCTGACTGTGTGTGTGTTTGTGTGTGTGTGGGAGTGGAGTGGAAGAGAGAGATAGAGGGGGAGAGAGAGAGAGAGAGAGAGAGAGAGAGAGAGAGATAAGAGATTATTTGGGCAGATGTAGTCTGCCGATGTGTCGTCTATAAGGATGAAAATGGGATTGATCACTTTGCCCTGCCTCATTAACAGGGATGAAACAAATGGAATT